TAGGAAAGGTGCTACATGAATCATTAGTGGTGCCATGACTCATTTTATATTTTAGGCTCTCCATGATGACATCCCCCTGAGGAACCTAGGAGTTGTTTTTGATGCAGCGATCGACTCTGAGGATTTAGCAAATGGCTCGCGAAGTGCGAGTCCTACCCCGTCGCTGGCTAGCAACAGGTCAGTCAGTCTTTGCGTTTCCGACCACACCAAAGTACCTTAAACATGTAAACTCCAGTATGTCGTATGAATAATTACGACAATATTTTTGCTTCTCTTACCTTCCCTGTGACAGTTCTATGTCAGGCCGTCAGCTGTGCAACGGTATCACAAAAACAGGGAAGGCCTGTAAGAAGAGAGCCGTGCCAGGACAGGAGTACTGCCGAGTCCATGAAGGGGGGCACTCCTCTTACATTTACTCCTGAAAATGTTGAACCTCTCTTCACTCTAAGTTTTCTTTAGTAGAGGGCTTTCTCTGCAGTTTTTGTCTTTATAGGAAGCTTTATACTTTTCATGAAGACCGGGGCAGCTAAAACTGTTTTTAAATGTTTTGCTATTTTTTATTACCACTTTTTAAATGTTCATTTTAAGTTAATAAATTGCCTATCTCTTCAGTTAGCCATTTAGTAGTGCCAAAGGCTGGGTAAAAATCATTCAGCTTTTTATATATATATATTTATATATAAATAATCTTCTGGGGCAGCACAGCTCTGCATGTTCTCTCGGTGCGGGTTCTCTCCGGGTACTCTGGCTTCCTCCCACAGCTCAAAAATGCAGCTTAGGTTGAGTGGCGACTCTAAATTGTCTGCCGAAGTGAGTGTGAGACCTGTCATAGACAGCAACCTGGCCAGGTCGGACCCCACCTTTTGTCCAATGTCAGCTAAGATTGGCTCCAGCTCTAAAGTGTGTTAAAGCCCAGTAGCCAAAATTGTTTATTCACAATACTAAAAGAAACACCAAAATTCAGCAGGCAGAATGTCTAATCATTACTGAAATAACATTAAAACCCATTGAAGAAAGTGCTTTTATCGTATACACTACCAAAGGGGCATTAAAATAGACAAAATATCTTAAATGAGGGATAAAATCCATTACACAAGCTGTTTGAGTTAAAACACTGTGGAGGACATAATTTAATCACCCACAGACTACACCATGAACATTACAGCTCGATAGACAAAATACTTTAATCAACTACATGCTGCTGTAGAGACATACATCATTGAAAGACTAGGTTATTTCAACGGAGGGGGTGCTTAAAACCCCACAGACATGAACACATTAACTGCCTAAGAAGCAAATTAGAGCTACGATCCAACCCGCTTAAACTTAACTCTCTGATCTCCCAAACACTACATCATTTAATCCAATTTGCAGGCCCTAAGCACCCACACACCACCGCATTCAAGGCAAAATACAACATTTCAGAACAATTCAGTCAAAAACCACCAAAATCATATTAAAAACCCAATATATAAAATAACCTAATTCATAGACTTCTAGTTCTGGTCATAAAGTGAATCAAGGCCAGGAACCGTATTCACAAAGCATCCCAAGATTAAAAGTAGGTCAAGTTAGGAGAAACTACAAAAAATAAGCAGGGTGTTGGTCGTAACTTTTAAGACTTCTAAGTGACAGGTAGTAGAATACAGTACCTACAATTACAATAGATTTGTTTATTATGTCTAAAGAGAGACAAGTCTGCAACAACATTCACAATATATTACAGGCTGGTGTTGCAGACATGAACCTCAGGTGAGATACTCAGTCCAGCTCACTGAATGCAAAGACAGGAGGGGCAGAGTCAAATTAGCAGACTTCATCCGTTAACCACCATCTAGCTGTGCTGATGAACCAACTTGTTTTGTCTCCATCTTTGCCATCCCTTTCTCTTCCATCAGAACGAGTCGTGGATGAACAGATTGTGCCAACTTGTCATTTTTACTTACGGGCAGTGTCGTAATTGGCAACAAACCAGTCACAGGTTTCCTTTAAAGCTGTAATTGAGAAGAGGAGGAATCAGACTTGTATCCTGTCGTTTACATTCAACATTTTGAAGGTGCAAATACACCGTTATATAAGCCACTCCCACCTTGTTTGAAGGGGGTGAAGGTGAAGTCGGGCAGGTAGTGGCGCAGTTTTGCATTACTGGCCGTCTTTTTGAACTGGCCGTCTGCTTTACTGGTGTCATACTAGAGGTGTGAGGTCAAGGAAACCACATGATACTGATAACATGAGTGACAAGACAGCATCTTACGATTTACATATCTAAGCCTATCCAGTCCAAACTGCATAGTGTTTAACAGTGCTGACCATTTCACAAAAAGATTTGCAGGTCGTAAGATTTCCTACCTTCAAGTCAACTACCGATTACACTATAATATCAATGTTTCTGAAAGTCTAATTGCAGTTTAGGAGATGATGATACTGGCTCACGGTGAACACACAGCTTTTGCCTTTTGTCATAATTCCATAATGTGTGTTTTTCTCCACAAATTGAGGTTTGTAACAGACTGCCGGCAGTAAATCAGTCTTAAACGTGCACAGTATGCTTTGAACAAGGGTTACCACCACTGTCAAATATATCTGAGGTAGTGTGCTAAAACATGCAAAACTACATATATTGGTTGTCATCCTGCTAAAAAAGTACAAATCCTGTACACAGAGTAACTTTACTGAGTTATTTGAAAAACCTTGCTGAGCAGAAACTGGTTAAACTGTTCAAAGCACCTGCTGTAATAACATCGGCTGACTTGCATCATTAAAAGGATACCACCACTTCTCCTTTAAACCCCAGCGCTTGGACAACTGCATCTGCTGCTTCTTTAATGGACACTTCATCCTCCTCTCCAACTGGAACCAAAAGACACAAAGTAATTATACTTCAGTTTGAAGGGCTAAAACTCCAGTTTCATTATCAATACACTTATGCTATGTATGAGAACCCACCAGAGAGGATGATTGGATCGACCTCTGGATACTCCCTTAGCACCCACAGGAAGAGACGAGCTAAGTCCAGAGAGTAAATGAACTGCCTTCTGGGAGCACCAGAGCCCCAGACCACCAAGGGCTTCCCCTCCTCTAACCAACAAAACGTAAAGCAGATGCACATAAGAAATTCAAATGAAATCATACACCCCTGATGCCCTGTAACTGTGCTTGCTCTCTTGGGATGCACAGGTCCAAAACAAACACTGAACCTTTTAAGTCTGCTAAAACAACAAAGACTTCTATGAAGGTAAAAAGCAGGATTGGCAGATTCCTACCTATGTAAAAGAATGTCACTTACTTTGAGCAATGTACGCCTTGTGTATGAGGCCTGGCAGAACATGACCATCCTCAATGCTGAAGTTGTCATTAGGACCAAACACATTAGTGGGAATCACAGCTGTATGGCAGCGACCATACTGCTGGAAATATGCCCTGTGAAACACATGCATAATTTAGAAAATACCTGAAATTCATGTGACCATATCAGAAGATGGCTTTATCTGATTTATGAATAAGCATGTTATAGTAAATTAATGTGTTTACACACCTATTATGTACATCAATCATTCTCTTTGCATAGGCGTAGCCAAAGTTCGACTCATGAGGTGGACCATTATGGATCTGGTGCAAAGACCGTAACGGGAAGTGAGTTTACCATTTACAAAACAGACACAGGATGGCAAAATAAAACACAGGATGCAGTCTGAATTTAAAATATTCTTACCATAGTTTCATCAATAGGGTAAGTTGTCTTATCTGGAAAGATGCAGGTGGATAGACATGACACCACCTTGATCACATCCACTTCATGTGCTGCCTGCAGCACATTATCATTGATGTAGAGATTGTTTCTCTGTAGAGGAGAGACATCAGTAGCTAAGAATGACATTAAATGCTACACAACTCTTCCAATTATCTGTGCTAGTTTATTAGCAGTGATTTCAGAAGAGCAAGTTCCTCATACCCAGAAGTCCAGGTTGTACTTCATGTTCTTGAAAAGTCCTCCAACCATAGCAGCCAGGTGAATCACATGGGTGGGCCGATGTTTCTTAAACACTGCCCGTGTCTCCTCCATGTTCCTGAACAGAAGCCACAGTAAAACAGAATAAGGAAAGTACACAGACTCCAACTTGTGTTATACAACAGCAATAGCTAGAAGTAATGAACACTCACATGAGGTTAGCATCTTTGGACGAGAGGAATATCCACTCTTCTCCCTCCTTGGCTCCCCCTTCCTCTTTGACCACATGCTGTATGGCCTTACCCACCAAGCCAGACCCTCCTGTCACTAACACCCTCATTGGATCGGTATGATCACCCTGACAGGTCATCAAGAAACAGAACACAACATTATTTAATGGGGCAAAAAACAAAATCTGAAATAAAACAGGATACAAGTGTTTGCATATGATAATGAGGCTATATTCCAAAGCAAAGCACATGAGTTACAGGCAAAAGTATGGTTTCTGCAGTATTCACTAAATTACAGACGTTTAAAAGACCTTTCTAAGACTTTTACATGGTTACACTGGTCGGATAATATACAAAACAAACCCTAAGGTATTTATTATTAATGACCTCTAAGGCCTTTTAGGAAACTAATTAACTGCTTTTTAACTTTTCCAGTTCTGCAAACACCCTGATTCAAGATGGCTCAGTAATATCAATGAAGGCTCAGGTGAATGCCACGTCATTCAGCAGCTCAGGTCCGTGTTATCTAGGTACTTATTTCATCTTATTTACAAGCTCTAAATACATTTTTTTGCCAAGCAAAACTTAAACAAAGGGGATTATCAAGTCAAAGAAGTTGGGCACCAAAGTAACTAAGTAAATTAAAACCAAAATCAAATAACGAACAACTTATCATATACCCTACTATAATAAAAGTAGCTTACCTCAATATTTGGGTAAAGTAAAACAGCGATATCCCAATGTATTGGTCGGTACCTGATAGTCAATAGTCTGTACAGAAATACAGAGCTGTACGCTGAGTTAACGTTATTAGTCAAAGTTGATACTAGCTAACTTAGCAGGTAGCCGCTGTCACGTTCATTCCTTTCAGCGTGTTATGCAGCGAGGTAACAAGCTACAAGAAACCCGAATCTGGAAACGATATCGCAGGTGTTTTCTTTTTCATATTAGTGGCGTGTTAATGCAGCAAAATCACGTTAACTCAGAGCTAAATGAATCCATACAGTAGTTGATCCGTAACTATAAACTACACAGGTAAGTCAGTGTTAAGCTAAACGGAACAAAAAACCCCGACTTCCGGTCATAACTACTTCTTCCGGTACTTTCCATGTCCTGACTGTATACACCTCAGCGCCCATTTCTTTCAGGGTTTACGGCAGCTGGGATCCGTAACGTCGCACTACTGCCTCCTATTGGTTTTAAGCCACCTCAGCGCCCATTTCTTTTAAATCCGTAGTCTAGCCCAGTCGCTCTGAAATATCAATCCGCTCCGCACTATCTCCATGTTTAATTATATTTTTCACACTGGTTTCCCCTAGCCCTATAGTTTTGTGATCATCACTCTCCGGTCTTCACTGCATCTACACTGCTAAAACTTATTCCACTGACTCACTTTCCTGACACAGGTCACTGTTGTATGTTTTCCCATAGTGAAGAAAGTGCTGTTAAGTTTCGGTCGTAACCTTCAAAATAAAGCTTTATTAACGAAGAGCTGTGCTGTTTTCATGGCTCAAATTAACCAGAAGTGATTCAACTATGCTGAAAGTGGACGGAAATAAAAATGTATCTAAATGTTTAAATTAGCTTAAAAAATTTCTGGTTATATCTTAATGGTATTACTAACGTTTACTTTTATAAATCTAACCACAACTGTATAATTATTTATCTCTATGGGCAATAGCATATTTACAACACACAGTGTTTCCAACTTCAGATCAGTATTATTATTATTTTCCAGTTGATGTGAAGTAATATCTGTGTTCATGCTGTAGGTACTGTATATTTTGTCCAGGTTTGTCTCAGAAGCACTCTTGATTATCATTGCCCTTTGTGGTTAAGGCAGAGACACACCAAGCTCTTAGTGGACAGAAGACAGGATGCAGCCACAGAAGCTAGGGTTTTCACTTTTCACTAAACTTGAACAGATTCCACAGGGAACACCTGGGAGTTAATAGGATCTACAGAACCACGTGGGTTTATGCTTAGTTTGCAGCTGTTTTTCATTTCCTGCTGCTTACTTTTCATTTGTTAACCTAGAATGCTGTCAGTATTTTATACATACAGTACACACTTGGTTATTTGACTCCCACATTTAAAATTTGTTTTTCACAGCTTGGTGAAGTTAGCAACAGCATTAAACAAATAATTGCCACAAACTGTGAATTAAATGCATGTATGTCTGGTAAATTTATCATCGAAGCAGTAACATATTCAGCAATTTATGTTCATGGGCATTTTCCCCCTAAAACGTCATCTGTTTGCTTAATTTTTGAAAAAGTGAGAGTTGATTCTGTTAATTAAAATTAACACAAAGTAAGTACTGTAGCTCTGCATTTTACTTTAAAGGGTTAAGCTTAGGTCTTGTCAAATTCAACCTAGTGCAAACCAAGTGGTAGCCTAGCTTGACTTTCGGGGCGGTATAGTTTTATCTGCAGAGGGTTGGAGATGAATGGAATGTTGTCATGCTTTACTAATTGTAAATGGGATTTCTAAACCTCAGCAGCAACTTGTTTTTCAAGAAAGTGTTCTGCTTTGTGGACAATCCAGACTTCAGTGTGAATTCTTTTCACTGACGCTCCTACTGTATACTGAGAAAACATTCCTTATGAAAACTGCAGGGAGGCAAAAGACATATGCCAGCTCATTGTTTTTTTAACATCACCATCAGATTTTACTCACATAGCTAAAATGAAGAACCGTTTGCTTTCAGAAGTCACTTTATTATTAATAGCAAATTGACAGTCCATTATGAATCAAAGATTAATCACACCTCTAATTAAATGTGATCTACATCTATGATTTCAGTGCAAAAACAGACACAAACACAGTCCTTTAATTAGCAAAACAGAAAATAAAGCCTTTTAGAAGATGTTGCATATTT